AATCAAAAACTCGAATATTACAGAGGAGGAACACTGCGATTGCATTTTGCGTTCCGTATGTTAATTTGAGAAATGCATCTAGCTGATATTTGGGTGCTATGATAAAATAGAGCGTAAAGATGGAACACCGTGATCTATTTCATTGAAGAAACACCCAGCGAAAAATAGGTTTTTCAATTTTCCTGTACAGTGGATTTGTTTAATGAAGAAGACGATCCGTTGATAGGGATAAACTTTCTAACGAAAGCAAGGCGAACCGAATACTGAAACGATGAAGAAACAAACGTTCGTAGTGTTGGATCGAGACTGTGTACGCAGCAGACGCACTGCAAACGATCAAATCGGCCAGTTCGTGACCAAACACGACCATTTCATGCACCAGACGGGCGTCTGGTTCATCACCAATTTTGACAGTTAGTTCATCGATTTGCTCTATTCGTGCTCGAATTGACGGTAAAGCCAATTCTGGAATCATTTGTGGATGTTTGTAATAAAATATTTGTGGACTCCGAACAAATATACGAATGTTTTCGCACTCATTTTCGAGAAGTTAGCACCAATGGATGCCGTATTGACAGTGATAGACGATATGAAAATAATGACGATAGAAAAAGCTTTAAAATAATAACTGAATTAATTAATCTTCAAGTTCAATGATGCTGGAAGTTTTGCAGATAAGTACAAAAGTATGATGAGAATGTGAATTTTTAAGAAGAAATTTCTTTCTCTTACGGATGGGATATGAGATTGAGGTAGCACTGTGAAGTTCATCTTTGGCATGTAACAAATTCTGTTCGATTCCATTGCAACACGATTCTGAAAGCTGCATTTTTCGCATACAATATCGAAAACTTATCAACAAAGTAATTCATTACATCTCAAAACCAGATTCAAAATGACAATCCAATAAGACTCACTATGAATGCTTTCGATTAACGAATCACTCAACGAATTTTGCACTAAACAGCTTTGTGTGTTTAAATGACATGAGGATTCCCACGAGAATTCAAACAGAAAATTTCTAACTCAAACGAAAACAAAAATTCATACCGAAAAGATTTTTCTGATTGTTTTTCAGCGCATTTGTCGCATTCATCTGCACGTCAGCCAGTTGCTTTACCGAATTTTGTTTCTCAGCTTCAATGGCCTGTAAGACAGAATTCGTAAAAGTGATGAGGAACTAAATATGTTATTCGACCACAACCAAACGTTAGCACTTATCAGAGAAGTGATAAGC